GTTTTCAACTACCGAAAAGGTAACTCTCTATGAATTGTCAATTAATTGATGTATACATATTGAAAAATATTCTGTAATTTCAGCATCAACTGTTTCTTGATTATGACTGAGCTGCTTCTCTCTGGAACTTCTGTTTGTGTTACCAAAGTTCAAGATAACTCTGCTAAGTGTGTGATTTAAGTATAAATCTTTGGTTGTGTTGCAGCGTATTTAAGAAAAACTTCTGCGTTTCTACAAATTAATAACAAAACTCTCTCATTGAGAAATAAAAGATTTTATATACCGCGTATGTAGTTCCCAATCACGTGCCGAAAATTTTTTCAGACTTACAACGCAACACTAAACAACTACCGCAGTAATATCACTTTTTAGTTAAATTGCTAAAACACATCTAACAATTATTTGATACTTCTATATAGCATCTTATTAGATCTTTAATATGTTGAAAGACATATATTAAAATTTATAATAAGCATAGTGATCTAGCTTTGACCGTAGAGATGGCTTAGTAAACCGTTAGTTATTGCGGTTTCCTTATTCTTGTTAATTTATAATTGTACGGTCGTAATAAGGATTCTAATATTTGTTTATAAAAATATGGATATATTTTTGTATTTTAAATCATTTTACTACCTAATAATTACTCAAAAACAAAATTATCATAAAAATTATCTAGATAAAAATTTTTTTAATTTTATCTTTTATCTACATTAATGTAAAATTAATTATCTTTTTTATCTCTTATCTAATAGTACATTATGTACCAAGGACGCAAAATGTATCATTCTCGGCGAATGCGATCTTTGGGGCCGAGCATACTTGGTATATAATATATAAGTACTATATATTATATAATAATATAATATATAATAATATAATTAATTGTCCAATATAAATTATCTACAAATTTTTGCAATTTAACTCGCGATAGTACTGTGGTAATTTATTAGAGCTCGCGTTGTATGTCTGAAAAAATTTCAGCACGCATTTAACAATCTACATACGTAGTATACGAATTCACACGCATTATACATAAATACCCGAAATTTAGTTTGACCTTACAGCATGTTCTCATCGATATTTATGTTCATTATGTTTACCTTTTAGAGGACACACTCGACAAACATAGTTCTATCTTTTGTTGAATGTTAAGGATAGAACGACATTTGTGTCGAGTATGTCCCTGGTATGTCCTCTAAAAGGAAAGCGTACATAGATTGCGATATAATATATTTGCAAGGAATATATTCATTACATTACCGCACTCTCCTTTAAAGTGTTGAACGTTGGTGGATGAGACGGTGGTAAAAATGACTGCTGGAATCGGTCACGTCTATCCGGGCGAGCACTCGTCTTCTTCTTTAATTAATAGCTCCCGCTTCTCGAAATTGTAGAAAAGAGTTGATACGGCCAGATCACGTTTTGAGGATTACAGAAAATCGAAAATGATAATACAATCCGCGCGAAAATGGCTCCCGCTCGAATACCGGGCGGGCGGGTGCCTACATCTACATCGTCACGCCGCAATAACACACGTCAGGACGAACGACTCGTCCAAATTCGCGGAACAATCAAAAGGGGAAAACTATGCACAGTCAAAATCGGCTCAACTCTCAAAAATATACGATTTTAAAAACACCCGAACTGAACACATCCGCCACGATCGAGTGATTCTCCGGATTTCAGAACTAAGCAGTTGAAAGTTCGCCTGGCTTGCCTCGAGCCACCGTGCCTCTCGTTCGAATAACTCAAGCGGCCAATCAGGGATCGCAACGTCATCACGCGTTACAACGGACAGGCGCACTCGTGCTGACTATGCTGCATCCGGATTCCGGCAGGAGTCTGGCATGCGCCTGGCTCCTGATTGGTCACCGCAAGCGTTGCCGCTGCTCACCGCACTTGATACGCGTATTAACTAATAATTTTCTATTAAATAATCTTAATTTCAATGTATTTAAAGAATAATGTGTTAAATTAGTAAAATATACATCAAAATAATTAATTAAATACACATATCATGTATATGTTTAGACATAACGCTGAAATTAAGATAATTCAATAGAAATTTACTGGTTAGTACTCGTATCAATTGCACGATGTAAACTAGGCTATGGAATCTTGGTGCGTTCTGTTTCTCTCACGATGCGCATCATTTAGGCGAGAAACACACACTTTTGCATAACGCATAAAGCTTGTGAATAAAGAATTTGATTGTCCATTGAAGCGGGGAGCACAGACTTTTGCATAACGCATAAATCATATACATAAAGAATTTGATTGGTCCATTGATTCATGCATAAGAAAATGGGCCAATGAAATTCCTTATGCACATGCTTTATGCGTTATGCAAAAGTGTGTGTTTCTCGCCTCACCAAATGTTAAACAAGGATAATTGATGCATCATGCGCATCATGTGCGAAACAGAACGCACCTTTAGGCTGCGCACAATAGGAGAAATATTAGGAACAGATATTAAATATAAGAATTTCAATCTATCAGAACTGTGTACTGTGGAATGTGCGCTTGCTGACAGGTTAAAATTCTTATATTTAATAACTGTTCCTAATGGGTGTATTCCGAACCGGGTTAAGCTAGGACTCCATGTATGCGGTGAGCTGCGGCAAACGCATGCGGTGACCAATCAGGAGCCAGGCGTATGCCGGACTTCTGCCGGATTCGGTATGCGCCTGGCTCCTGATTGGTCACCGCATGCGTTTGCCGCAGCTCACCGCATACATGGATTCTTAGCTATAGTTTAGCTTATTTTTTTTCCTAGATGTTGGCAGCTCCGTAACTAAACCGAAAAGTGTTCCGAATCTGACGGATGGTCATATGTATGAACATACGACCATCATCTGGGAATCTGATTGGCATATTCTATTAGATCTAAATATGTAAACCAAACAGGTACATACAAGAGCTCACTGAGCGCTCAATGAGCGGTCGTGCTTCTGGATGCACCCATTGGGCGAGTTCAAGATGGCAAAGCGGCTAGGTACGCTTACCGAGCGATTGAATATAATTGGTTATTACTTATAGATCCAACCAATCATACTCGATCGTTCGGCAAGCGTACCTAGCCGCTTTGTCGTCTTGAACTCGCCCATCATCTTATGAAAGCATTTTTTACCAAAAACAAAAATTGGCGTTCTCTTTTTTAAAACATCTTAGATAACATGTATGATTAACAGGGTACATGTAGTAAAACAACCGTCGATGATTCAGAAAAATCAATAAAATTTTGGTCAAGTTTATTCGATGCAATCTTTCGCATTTTCTTTCGTTATTGAATATAAATCGTGTTTACAAATTATATAACGTTGAAGAGAACGTAAATCATCGTGTTCGTTACATGCTGCTTTTTTTCTTTTCTTTTTTTTACTTCTTTATAGAATCTCTATAAGTAAAGACTTCCGATTACCGACTAAAAAGACTCATTGTAGAACCCGCTTTAACATTTACAAAAACTGTTACCCTGGATTTAAAATAGATTTTTAAACCTTATGTCATAAAAAGTGGACAAATTACAGTCAATTACTCTCTTCGTATTTGACTGTAATTGGTCAATTTCTTATGGCTTAAGGCTTAAAACATCTATAGATGCAGAATCGGTCCAGAACATATTCATCGGATACCTGATCCGTGGGCGGGTACCCGCTAATTTGCGGGTATTCCGAACTCTATTTAAAAAATGCTTTTGTCGTTAAAGTAGTGAAGATGTATAAGAGAGTAATAAAAATGTGGATTAAACGAATATATTTTCACCATTTTTCCTTTTCTGACTCGAATGCTGCACAATTGTACAATATTTCTAAGAATTGATCAAATTTATCTAATTGAATAAAATATAAATCTATGCATCATTTGGATTTAATTAGGGATAAGATGCTGTTTGATTTTACGGATGTTCAAAGGACGGTTGGCGGAAAATGTCCGACACTGTAATGGCATTAGGAAAAATCTAAAACTGTCTTAATGCTACAAACGAGCCAGCTGTGGTCTTTTTCATGTTGTTGAATCCACAGACAAATGGTGCCGGTTTCGCTGACGTCAGGAAATTGATAAATTCGAATCTGTCAAGATTCAGAAATATTGAGATCACTTGCTGGGGACAAAGGCAAAAATAGCAATTACAAGATATCCCTGATGAGATATCGAGAATAGAATTCTAATGTGGACTTCAAAGCTACGAACAATTCTTAATTCACGGTATAAAATTTAAAAATCTTGGTTTTATCTTCATTTTAACGTTATTATTTTCTATTAGCGATTCCATATCATCAACCTTTAGTTGGACGTGAGATTCCAGACAGTGAGTTTTTTAGATACAGCAAATATTGTTCGAATTTCAAATTTACAGAGGCGTTTATTTACCAATCAAGCAAGCGTGTCCACGTTAGAGATAGAAACAGTAGCAGTTTCTTCTTAATAATCATTCTAGTCTAATCGTAAAAGAAAAAATGAAATCTTCTCCAAAGAACTTTTATTTATGTACACATCAAACATTTACATCCTATTAATGACAGATAGTATTAAACTTGATATTAAAAATGATCGTTTTTAAAATGTATTTTTGAATTTTGTTAATAAACTTTTGAAAAATGTAAATTTTTTTTTTAATATTTTGTTTTCTGTAACATGAAAGTAAATTAAATGAGAACATTATTATTAAAATAATAAATAGCATGATTATTTATATATTGTATAATATTAATATTTCTACATAGTATTAAACATTTACATATTAAATATGAAATTATTAATGTATTTTTACATCAAATTTATATCACATAACTTTTCCAAATTAATTGAAAAAGAGCGTAAATTACACTAGTTTTCAGCATCCAAAAATCTATAAGACACACGTTATCTGGTCCAAAGTAATTGAAAAAAAAATTTTTTGTAAATTAGTGTTATTTTTGGACAATCTTGTATGTATTTTCTAAGATTTTAATTGTTAATTTGTTATACCTTTATTATTGATGAATCTTCATTTGTTTTTACGTTTTTTTAGATAGTATTAAATAAGCTTCTTTAAAATTGCTATATGTATTCAAACTATGATGCATTCTGTAAAAAAAATTATATATACTTATTATCTAAAATAAAGAAGAGAAAGACATGACAAAAATTTTACTTACCCTTTAAAAGTTTCATTTATTACTGAGATTACAGATTTATGACACACAATGATAGTCTTACATGCTTCCGGATCGAATAATGGTGTAATATATTGAACTGTTACGCGGCTCATATCGTCCTTGGTAACGGTGGGAATATCTCGCATTAGTGGAACACAGTAATCAAGCGGCAAACCACGACAACATCTTAATGATTCATTTGCTCTGTTGCCTATGGCGTTCTTCATTCTCACAAGCTGGAAGATGGTAAGTGATTTGGCTGACTCGCAAAAAATATCAGTCCATTGTCCAAACATACGATTTTCCTATAATGAGAAATTCGTGATGCAAAAGATTTTCTTTCTCATATATACTTTTATTTTCTTTTATAATTATGTTAAATGTTTTGTGCAATGTTTACATGCTTATTTCGTATGACTAATTTATTGTTGTTCATACCGTATTCTTTTTAGCCTTAGTGTACGCGCCTACCAGGTCTGTAGCATCATTAATAGCTAAGTACAACAGTCCTTCGTGCAATGATACAAAAAATTCGTAATCGCGCGCACGTTCAGAGTGTCGAATTAATAACGACAAGGGTCCCTGAGATAGCAATAAGGATTCTTAACTTAATATGTTTAAAATGACGATACCGACTTGCGTTTTCATTTTTGACAAACATCATGGTGCTTACATCCATTTGATCAAGATACATCAAACAAACGAGCAAAGCCGGCAGATCGGGATTCCGGTAATCATTTATACATGGATGAGCTCGTAGAAAGAATGCATTCGTTTCATTTTCTAATCCAACAATACATCTACTAATAGCAATATGATTCGTGGAACTCAATAATGTCCAATCATTAGTTATGTTGACCCTAAAAATGTAATATCATTAATATATTATATAATTTTAATGATTTCTCAAAGCCAAGTTGTGCCTTAATTAAGTTTGTATTACGGATACGGCTAAATATACAAACTATTACTTAAATAAGTTATTAAAATGTTAAACAAAATTCATGTTGAGAAATATCACCCCTAAAAAGATATTTTACATTTTTTATTATACATATTCTCATAAAAAAGGAAAGCCTTTATTATAATTTAATGCTTTACATTGTTTCCAAAATCGTTCCTGATTAATAATTTTGCTTTTTACTAAAAATTATCTTAACATTAAATATGCTAACTATATTTACTTATTGTTAGTCTTTCCTTCTGCAACTGTTACATCAGAAAAGAACGTTTTCCATGGGGCATACACATTTGGAACTTTATGTATTAATTTCATGATGTTAAGAGTCATATACAAAACCATATTTTCTGATAACGTCAAGACTTTTCTGCTTGATTCAATATTTGCCATGATTTCCTTCTGATCTACATCATTGTCCAGACGTTGTAGAATGTCAATGAGAAACTCTTCTTGTTGCAATAAACTGAACATGTAAGGATTGCTGTCTACAAATATTTAAAAAAAAATTTATATTATATTTTTTTGTTTAATATATATATATATATACTGTTTCTACTTCCTCGATATGAAATTATTGACTAAAAAAGTTTTTAGAAATACCTTCATTGTACAGAGCTATTTTCATTAAATCATCCGTAACTCTTTCTCCTTCTGTCTTCAATTGAGCAATGCTATTTAGTTTGTTTGTTGCTACTTCTTTTAATCTGTCAACTGTTAACACAGTGTCATATAAAAGCTCTTTAATCCACTTTACACCTTTTTCATACTTTTCATATTCAAACTATATTGATAAAGATATATAACAATTACAAATTGTTTTAAATAGCTATAATTATTTTTTAAAAGAAGAAATTATATAATAAATTATATATCACATTATCACATACTGTGATACATACTGTGATACATACTGTATGATACATAATGATACATACTGTAAGTATCAAATAAACACTAGAGGACTTGTATGAGAATGCCATAGGCTTATGAAGACTAATTTGAGTAGTAGCTAGTACAGTATCTGCTTTTAATTCGTCTATTACTTCCTTATAAGGAATCAGTTGATCATCTCTTTTCACTGGAGATTCCATAATGAGTTCTAACAATAGTGGAATATATTTTTTACATACGTTACTAATGGAAGTAGTATCCATGACAACAAACATCTAAATTTAAATAAAGGCTACAGTTAATTATATCGTATTTAATAATCAACGTATGATTATATTTAATATGAATATATAATGTATGACCTATAATCTTTATAAACAGAAAAAAATATTTTTATGAATTATTATTTTTCAATAAAATTATACAATATATAAGGAAACAAAATACTTACATAAATGAACATCGTATCGGTATTCTCTATATAGGTAAATAATGGTAATAATTTGACATCTAATTCAGGATGCTGCTCCAAAGTTTCCGTACTGTAATTTTTAATGTGACGGAAGACAATGGAATTTATATCAGGTACAGGTATACTTTCTAATACTTCATCAGGTATATGTGACTTAAAAAAAAAAATCGTCATTAACAAGAGGACTGCCAGTAGTAAACTTTGGATATAAAATACTTTAATTACACAAATATTTATCTTATTTTTAATTAAAAGATTCACATACATTTTCGCTAATGGCTTGGGAAAGAAGTATATCGTTTCTAGCTAACCCAAGCATGCCAAACTCGCGCATCCGATCAATTTTTCTTTTTCTCTCCTCTCCTGAAAATATCTTTAACATTTCATGACTGGGTGTGCCTTTCACAACAACCATTGGAGTTTCAACAAAGTATTTCTTGTAAAGATTGTACCAGTAACTTTTAGATTCATTTTCTAATATTTTGAGATAATGTATAATGTTCAATCTATGATTCAGCTGTTAATGAAAATGATGCAATCAATATTTCGATAAAACGCAATTTACAAATAAATCATGCGTATAACATACGTCTTTCAGTGATTTTCCATATAACATATGTTTAAACAGCCCATTTGCGATTGTATTATGAGGATTATTTTCCAGGTCATTTAAAATTTTAATAATATATCTGCGAATTATAATCTTCATTCTTTTTAATTCTATACCAACGTCAGTTGTATGTTTGAGAACTTTTATCACAGACTCCTTGACTAGAGGAACTTTACTACCTGGCACATTCGAAAACATTAAACTTAAAGCTGAAGTTGAGAATTCATGGAAATAATATTCATAGAAGATCTGTTCCTTGGCAAATTCTTTTTGCAGTACACCTTCAGTTGTGTCAGTCAAATATTGCGAGATTAAACAAAAGCTGAAATAGTCATACATTTTGTAAATGGGCGGTCCTTGCCAGGCTATACGAATATAAGCCCCAGTACACGAGTAACATGGATATTGGAATTCCACATCTATGCTTTTTGTAAGCGGTTTAATTGGAGTCTGCCAGGGTCTTTTAAATTCACCTCTGTCTCCCTATAATTTTAAGACTAAAAAATTAAGATTGTCGCAAAAACACAAAATAAAAATTATAATATCAAAGTAAATTAGAAATATTATTATCAGAAATATCAATATATAATATAACTTTTAATAAAGAGTAAAAACAATATTTTTACTTATTCTGATATGTTTATTTTTCTAATTTCTAAAATTAATAATTTTAATCCTAATTATAATATTTAATTAAAAATAAAAAAATGTTTAAATTAACTTACTTTTGATATTATTTTCTCTTCTAAAGGTAGTAACATGTCTAAAACTTTAGTATGGTCTACTTGACCTACTATTAATACAGTTAAGTTTTCTGGTCTATAGTATTCTTCGTGATACTGTCTGATATCTTCGAGAACAAGATATTCCGATATGTAATTCGATGTACCTACGTGTATATAACAATAAATAATTATACCAGAAGGTTTGTGGGTTATCGCCGTGTCTTTCTTTATTACCGTTCACTTCATCAGGGCGAGAGGTGCGCTGATACTCAGTATCTCGCCCTGATGGAATAAAGGGCATAGTTCACGAAACGTTGGTATCAATAATGAAGAAAGACTCGGTGATAATCCGCAAACCTTCTAGTATAATTGAAGAAAATATCCGTGAAAGGCTCAAATGCGTAACAATAAATAATGATTACAAACCCAACACAAACAATAGAAAAACAAATATTACAATGAAAGTAATAAGATGTAAGCTATAAGGTATTGATAAATCAGTCGATTATTCTCCTCATATTCGAGCAATCAATTTCTTACATCATACGGTTTACTATCTTTATTAGAAACGACTCTAAAAGTTAAGGATTATGATTCGAAACCATCTCGTCAATACTCAAGTATTCATTTTCGTGTTCTCACTAAAATGATTTCATTTCTTAAAATATGTTTAGCCCGATTAGATTCTCGTTATGTGGATCATTTTACTTTCATTTACAATTGCTATGAACTATAATTTTTTGTAAAACATACGCTTTACACGAAGTGAATAAATTCTATTCTATAAAAATTATGCTTGTTATAGGGGATCAAAATTGACAACACGTTTGTTCAATACCCGGAATACCTATTGTTCAATATCGATCTTCTTTTCGTTTTTGCTATTCCCGTCGAAGCACTTCGTGAGTGTAGAAAATAATAGAAAAATATTATAAATGAACATACAATTAAATACACAAAGAATTAAAAAAATCAAAACATTTCAAATTTTTATTGAACATTCAATACAGTGCATTATCGTTACCGTGTGTTTACATATATGGATTTTGTTTACATTTTTTACATGATTTTCGTGTTTTTTGACGCTTTTTAAACACGCCTTTACTGCAAACAAGTCCATGACAATTTTTTGCCTTGTCAAATCGAATCTTTCCTCCAACGATGCTGACAATAAAGTACTACTGGTAACATTATTTACTGATCTACCAAATATGCTTTCAACAGCATTCTTCGTCGAGAAACGTTTCATTATTTAACAATTTTTCAATCGTTTTTCGACGAAAGACATACATAATTCTTCACCGAGTTGGCGCAAGATATCGGCGTTCGTTCGTTTTTTTTTTTAATCATTTTATTTTCATAATATATACACTGCAAAATTCGCGACATCCACAATGTTATAAAAAAAGACAAGGTGCCATCTGGATGTTTGTCTCTTCGTCGTGTATCTCTGGAATACATGGTCGTCGATTTTTGTTTTATTATAGTACAAAATTATTTCCAGCTTCTTTCTTTTAGTCTCGCTTACATTCCTGTTTGTATGTATTATGGATAAAAGTAGCATTATCTTGTTTTTTTTTTTTCGAGATGTGTGAATAGATCATAACATTTTCGTATAGAAATAACAAAGAGATGAATTGAATACATCTTACGAAATTTCGAAGCTATTTTGGTCAGAATATATTTTTGTATCTTTTCAACGTTCCAACGATTGTCAAGTTCCAAGACATCAGAGATTTTACCAAAAGTAACGACGTAAAAAATTTATCCATCGTGATATTCCTACCCGAATCTTTATACGGAAGAGCCAACTTATGATTTACTCGCCTTCATTCACTTTGCAATCCTGTTTTTGTCATACAAATGTATCCCTTCAGTGGATATATGAACTTTTAGCATCTTTATAGCTACCATATTTTTATCCAGTATTTTGCCAATTTCGATGGAATATATTGCGTAAATTTTGTTTGACCGTAATACGGAAAGAGTTATTCGTAAATTGTTAGACACTCTGTTAGCTTATATTTTTACTAAACTGAAATTGAGCATTATTCAAAGATCGCGTATCGGAGCAGCTTTATCTTGTTTAATGCAAGTTTCTCGAGTGTTTGTTCTAAAATCTATTGACTGCACCCATCGTCGCTCGGTACAGAGGGTGCGCAGAGGACCGTCACGCGTCAACTGCTTGATCATTATTTGAATTATTTACTCTAGAACTAATTAGAACATCTAAAAAACCGTAAAATTCTCAATTCGTATCTTTCCATGAATGTTGTTTTTTTCGTTGGATTCGCTTCATTGTGTCTTCGATACTTCAAACACCTTCCTTTTTGTGATAAATAATATCATTCCGCTGATGAAAATTACTTTGAACGTGTCAGGAATTGATAAAGTTCCAGTATTCTTATGAGGACCATTTCTTTGCTGAAAATTATTCTGAACTGTATGTTGCTATTGAACTGTAAATGTCCAAGTGGTTTTGTCTTTGGTAATAAAAAATTTGCAGCCGATTTATGTGATCAACGAACAGGTATCTCTTCATTTTCGTTTCTTCATCTCTCATTTTCGGACTCTGATACAAGTTTAAATGGATTCTTCTGAATTTCCTCTATTTCGTCGCTATCGGACATTTCGGAGTTAATCGCTCACTCACTTAGCACTGGAGAAACTATTCTTCATCGTTGCTATCCGAACATATTTTCAATAAAATCAGACTCCTTGCATAATATTTGCTATATAATTAAGTTTTCCTTCTGTCGTCAATCTAAAATTTTTTCAAGATGTTATACGTTATAAAAGTCATTCATATTCTAAAAATGTAAGAATCAAAACAAGAAACGTTTAAGCCTTAATTTGTTTTTTACTCGAATATTAAATATAAATATAACGTTTTCGGGTCATCGTTTGTTTATAAATATATATATATATATGTGTGTGTGTGTATATATATATATATATATAGGGTTCGGTCAAATAACATGTAAAAGCAGACACGAAATAATTCTTTATAAAAAAATTTATAAAATAAAATTTTTCGATTCTTTGTTTTCTAGTTTGCGAAAAAATCGAGTTTGAAAATCCGCTGCGTACGTTACGGCTAAGCTACGGTTCATCGAGCGATGTGTTCAACGCGTATAGTGTTTATAGATAATGTTTACATGAAATCTGAAACAATGAAGGAATTAAACGCCTATAACGGTCAAAGCTGGATCAAAGTGCTAATAATAAGTATGAGTGAATTCTTATACACCACATATGTAGCCCCCCCTTTTAAATGCGCGCTGATACATCAGACATATAACGCATAAATACTACAGTAGTATTATAATATCACCGAATAATACTTGATTAATTTAAATATAAGGATGATAATTTAAAATTCGTAAATACATCGGATCTCAATAATCTTATTCTTTATATTACGAAAAATATCACAAGTTGGCGTTTCCTTTAAAAGGGGGGGGCTACATATGTGGTGTATAAGAATTCACTCATACTTATTATTAGCACTTTGATCCAGCTTTGACCGTTATAGGCGTTTAATTCCTTCATTGTTTGTAGACAATTTACGGTCGATACAAAAATTAGTTAGTTGAAATCTGAAAGCTATAAGGTTTAAGGAAAAACACAAAATAAATCTTTAGTGAACAAAAAATTTTATTTTATTAATTACAGTATTGCTGGAACTGCATACGTATGCAAATAAATACTGAATTCTAAAAATATCTTTTAAATAGATTGAAATATAGTTAATTATAAGTAAAAATATATAATTATCTCGGAAATATTGTCTTGAAATAAAAAATATCGAGATGAAATTTCAAGATTCTTGTATCAAAATACCATACATCAATAGAGTAGAAATAGATTATTGAAATGGCTACTCACCTTTTAAACTTATTGATAATTCCTCCATTTTTTTCACAATCACTAATGATTAATTTTTGAAAAATTGCAAGATTCTCAAAGAAAAAAACATCACATATTAAAGTTTGCACGTCAAGCTCTCATTAGATCTCATTCGAGACTGAAATTACAGTACAGAATTCGTTCGTTAGGATGCATCCCCATAATATACAGTCGGAATTTCGGAAAATGGAATCTTGGAAGTCATACAATATCAATCAAAATTATTAGTTTGTACATATAACGTGCTAAACTTAAAAAATCTGATTGGTCGTATGATTTTTCTATTTCTTGAAATTCCGACTGTCATGGGGAAGTACCCTTAGCCATAAATCCGTATCAGATTACCGACTGTGGGTGTGTTTCGAATTACGCATGAAGTACATGATGTATCATTGCATTCTTCTCTATTCGGTGAGTAACAATAATAAAAAAAATAATGCATCATGCGTTTCATGTGCATTTAACGTGCGCTTCAACGTGATTGCTGATCAATAATAGGTGCATTCAAAACAACAACCGTTCACTGAACGCTCAATTTTTGGCATATACCATTAGATCCTAAAATATAAACCAATCAGATGAAAGAGCTCATTGAGCTCTCGTTCTCTAAGATTGTGCATTCTGAATGCACCCAATAAATCAATCATGATGGTCGCGTTCAGCAGACTCATCTATTACGGAATGGATCCGTGAGCACTCGTTCAATAGCAGCGAGTAATTGGTCTATTATTGGTCGGCAGTCAGAGTTGGCAATTGGTCGGATCGACCTGAAGAGTCAGTAGTCTGATACGAGCTTTAGGACACCCGAGAGAAATTCTATATAGAAAATATTAGAGTGTAACCACAATAGAAGGAATAAGGAATGAGAAATTTCAATCAGAAACCGTGTATTTCAGTGTATCCAATTTCTGATAGCTTAAAATTCCATTATTCCCTTTATTCCTTATCCTTATTTTACTCCTGCATCCTAAGAGAAAGAAAATCCCTGTCTACTCATCAACTTACAGCTGTATCTGGGAGGAAGTGCATAAGTAGCTTTACTACACTGCCGTAACTATCGATTTTGCGTAGTGAGTACTCGGGTATTCCGGATATTAAACGAAAGGGAAAAATAAATATATTGACAAGAGGATTAAATATTTTTATACCTTGAACGATTGAACTATATCCACAACTTTCGGGATACATCGCTTTCATTAATTCAGTGTAAGTTACATATTCTCCGTCTAATTCTTTAGTCCTGGTGTCAAAATAAAATGTACCTCCATTGTCTCCATATTTAGTAATATGATGTACATTTATAATATATGCTGCTTCCTATTAAAATGTACAAAAGTTTTAAATATTCCTATATATAATTTTTTGGCAATATATGATTAAGATATAATAGTATATAATTATCTATATTAATAAATATGTTAATAACTTATCAGAATATAGTGAATATGCTATACAGACTTATATCTATTAAACTATAAATAAAACGTTTTACAAAAACAGAATATTTTATAGTATATTGCAGATTAAATAACAAAGGCAACTTATAAAAATATTAAAAATTTTTTTACCGAAAGTGTGGGATAAAGAATGTGATCAAGATATACAGGCAATAGGGAAAAAAATCCTTCTGTCTCACTTGTTCTCATACTGTAACAAGTGTAATCTTGAAACGTATGGATCTCGGCATCAAGTGAGTAGCATTTGTGAGACCAGCGAGTTAAAAGATTTTTATAGGGATAATCTTCGCTACCCATCAATACAAGATGTGACACTGCTTCAGGAAGACCATTGTCCGTAAACACTTCAGTAGCTGAAAAAAAATTGGTATTAAAAATAAAGATGACTAAAGATACTTTGATGTTTTATAATATTTATTTTAATAATCTTTTTATTATTGAGATGGATAGGAAATAACTGTTTGATTTTGTTAGGAAGAGACACACATATGTAAAAAAATTAAAATATTTTAAAAGATCTTTTCAGAATTATAATTTTGATCCTTAAAGATGCCACAACTTTACACATCCAATCTGCCATGTTATATTAACATAGTTCTGCCATTAAAAATCTTTCAGTAAGCTCACTGAACTGAGAACACTGTGCCAATTTTGACAAACTTTCCTATACTTCTGCCAGCATTCTACCAATAGCATTATAACAAATATTTTGTAGTCTATTGTCGAGCAAAATCTATTCTCGATAGACTTATCTATCTAGGAGTCAGAGTAAAAGGGAGAACTTGATATAATATATATTATCCTCTGTTAACATGTATGTTTAAAAATTACCTATAGCGAAGTGGCAGCTGACAATCGGATCACTTACGTCCGCAATACAAATTGTCAGGCCAGTTTTCAGGGATTTGTACATAGCAAGTGGTATCTTGTTGTTGATCATCATCGAATACACCATCCTGAATACCCCGTTGTCCCCGTTTGTTGGTGGATTCACATCCGTGATTTCCGCGATGCGGGGAATGCGGGGACCCGGAACACCCGGATACACAAACCTCGCGAAGTTCATTCACAAATTTCAGTTCTGTTATTCTGTACCGTATTACTGATCGATCTGCTTACCATCAGATACCGTGCCAGAAATACATACACTTCGTTAGTGTCAGTGTGTTCCGAAATGCCAAGTGACATGGTATTGGAATATATAGTTTACGTTACGTTTGCTATAGATTTTTAGTACTATCAGTGCATTGGCAGTGCATTTCTGACTGATGGCTGTCCGATCTAGTGGCTGTACTCCTGATTTCGTTCAACTCCGCTGTAACCAGCTGCTGTTGCATACTGGGCTTACTTAATAAAAACTTTTTCTATCATGGCCTAACCTATTCGCGCATCATGGAAGCAACCATCTTGACTTTTGACGTTTTGGGCAGTCTTCTGATTGGTTGAAAAGATGCGTTATTCTGCGCACTGCCGGTGTTGGTTCACCTTCTCTTCTTACACCATGGTTTAGATTGTTAAACAGTTTAATTTAAACCAATTTAAACCACTTTCCTTCAAACCCTTGGATGCAGCTGCTATTTTGAGTTTGACAGATATGGCGAGGTATTCCAGTGACTCGGACTCGGATCACAGCAGCAGATACCGAAGGAAGCGAAATCGAAAATCAAGGTAAAATCCAAGAGTATATATATATATATAAAATATTATATATAATGCCTATATTACTAATTTAAAGGTTAGGAGTTACATTAATTTTCAATTTATATCACTCGCACTATGTACATTTAATTAATTTTAAGTTAATTATTTGATTTAGTTTTAATTAATTAATGTTTTATTATTCATTAATTAAACCCTACTGAAAATAATCATGTCACAAAGTTACATAATGAAATCATGTAATTGAAACAATTAAATCACGTAACGGAATATTCCAAATCAGTACGTGATTTTTTTATGGAGATTTATCAAATTTCAAATAATTAAATGATAGAAATAAAAAGAAAATATCGTGTAACTTCTCAAATTACGTGATTTAAAATAATCACTTACTACTGTGGAACAATTTATTATGTGATTTATATACTTAATTACAAAATTTCGTTATGTAACTTTGTGACATGATTTTTTCAGTAAATATTAACATTATATTTCCAATAGAATGTATTCGTCAAGTGTTATCTTATGTTGCATTTGTCCATCTCTTCCAATGTAAATTAACCTTCTTGGTTTAACTTATTTTTTCTATTTTTTTTTTAAGATTAGAAAGAGATAAAAAGTAAATTAAAGTAAGATTAAAAGTAAATTTACATTTGTAGAAATGGATCGTATTGAGAATCTTATGATTCATAAAAATATTACAATAATTTATATAGATCTAGTAGCTCAGACAGCAGTGAATCCTCACCACATCGAAGGAGATCCTCAAAGCATTCGAAAACAAAACGTAAACATCGATCGCACTCGAGAAGTAGAGGAAGAGATCGAAATTCAAAAAACTATAAAGGATCCAGGAGCAGTCACTCAAGAGACCGAGACAAAAGACGTTATCGTTCTAGCACAGGTAGATCGTATTCTTCGGATCGTACAAGAAGAAAGGCTAGGTCTACATCTAGAGAGAAGTCACGAAGTCCTTCCAGTAGTTCACAATCGAATCAACCGAAGGTTAATACAGAAAAAAGCCAAGTTTTAACCACAAAAGGTAGAAACGCATTGACTTTTATGAATATTACAATTAAACATTTTGATTATATGTTATATCAAGAAATACAAATTGTGTATTACTTTTCAGATGATTTTCCCATTGAGCCACGTATCAAAGATAGTGTACTCGAAGAAATAAACGCCGACGGTTTCATTCCTAAGCAGTTCACTTCCTCTGCTACCAAAGAGAGTAAATTTAAAAATATTGTAATAGACATTAGCTCAGATACCATACAATTGCCATTAGTATCTAATGTTGTCAGTGGCCCAGAAAGTATATTTCATACATCGGTAAGTTTCAACTATCTTTATATGTATTTTCTAATGTACTCGTACATAGATAACATTTGTTCTTTCTTCTCAGATTATGATGGATCAAAAAGCAAGATTCGATAAATGGGTGAGAAAACTCTACACTCTTAGACAGAAAGCTATAACTGACTTTACACATATAAATATTACGTGATCTAAAATTTAAATTAAGATTTAGATTAGTATTTTTTTAATATACAAATGTATGTGAAAATATCCTATATGCGAAAAATATAAAACTTTAAATCTTTATTAATAATTTGAATGAGATTTAAATAAAAAAATTTTAGAAATAAATCTTACAAATTAAAATAACAAAATCCTTCCGTACATTTTTAACTTTATAATAAAATTGTAATTTAAAAAATTATTAAGATATTCAGTACGCACTGATATTGACATTTATATGTATTATTTATTTTCTTGTCAGACTTTACAATTATTTGCGTACAGTTTTACAAATTTGGTTTTTTATAACGCCATAAAGCTAAGGAAAGTTGTCAAACTTATGGAGATAGAAATAGTAACTATAGGAACTTAACTACAATCACACGAAACATGACAGAGAATCGTGTAACAATTCTATAATAAAGTTTAAATGCGCAGACAAAATTACACGTCTCATCATGGAATTAATTTCATTAAACAGAAGTTAATTGATATTAATAAGATATTCTGCATTTCCATCCCCACTCGAAAAGTGGTGGAATTAACTAATACACTATTTATTGCCACCAGTGTTAAACTACATGTCTACGTACATTTAAAACGATGTTTGCGCACCGCATACTTATATATTTGCGTGTTTGTTTATTTGAATCGATAATACAAGTAAAAATACATAATTAATACAAAATTATTATAATATTGTTCAGGTTATAATTATGTTCAGGCACTCGGTCCATAACATGATGTGTGCATATATACATATATATATATATATACATATATATGTGTATGAATATATACATATATATATATATATTACCTTTATGTTGATTTGTTCACAAAACCAATAAGTTTTTTTTCATGTAAGTTTAAAGAAATCAATTTTTCTATTCTGATCGAGACAAGATACAATGTTTTCAATTACATGTTACACATTTAGTATCTACTTTAATAATTATACAAAATTATTTCGCAATAAATTATACATATCTTCTTTTCTTTCTTAATTTCGATAAACAATTATAAATAATGATCCATCATACAAAACAAACTCTAGAATTTTCTTTCTTTCCGATATGTTATTAAAATTTTAGGTCAATTTTTATTTTTGCACATTATTTTTATTTTTATCACAAAATATTCTGAAATTGAAAAAACTTAGAAAGACACTTCACAAAAGTTATATTAAAATATCTATAACACGCAGTATCTAAGACTAATGAACATCCGAGTACCTGGATATGTTTGCTGATACTAAATGCTGTACGTGCAAATATATAATAAAATGTTAAAAATATACTAAAAATGATTTCTCTTTGTATGTGTAACAATGCACTAAAATAAACTAATGGCAAAATTGCATTCAGTCACGATTCTTATTTATTCCAGTACTGGTTTTCATGATAAATTGGCAATGAACTGATGCATAAAATGTAATTAAAATAAGATACTGTATTGTTAATACTTACTGAAGTATGTAACACAATTAGAAATGCAGAAGGGATAAGCATGTCTTAAATGGAATGTTTAAACACATCAAGATTTTTTTTCTTGGCCTGGTATTCTATGTGTGTAATTTCTATTTTTTTCTCAATTGAAATTGTAAAAATATTTATATAGTCGCAGTAATACTATAAATGTTTAACCTATTTTACACATATTAATCACAATTGCAAACCCAATATATTTCTGGAAACATATTTTAAAAATTATTTTCAGTTTTACAATATTAATAATTCGTTAATTTAATAATTTATAATATTTTTTTTACCTCGAGCTTAGTGTTCACACAAGCATTATCCATAACGCGATAGATTTTCTAAATAGAATTCACAAATTAATATATCTATAGTTTTACTAATAATAACGTATCGTAAAACTGCATCGTAAGCGCAATCACTTAGTGCACGGCTATTCTACTGGTTTTATCGTTTTTTAACGCAGACATTCATAAATATAATCAACAAGCTGTGTGCCAGAATCCATAATAATAAATGTTTTACCACTATGGCATAACACCGCATTTGCTATCTGTTTAAATTGAATATTGTACTACAAGAATATGGAAGAAATATTAATTTTCCTAAATATACCATCCTGCTAAGACTTCTTGAATTTTTTTTATAATGATTCGGTCGTTCATGTTTAGCCTCTCTGGTATAAAGGAGTTTCTCATGATATATTATATACTTCAGATCGATAATAACAAATTGTGTACTAGCATTATATGCTTTGTTCTTTTTAGCTAAACTTCTTGTTCGTCTTTTCTCTTTTTTTTTCTGTAATGTGGAGAAAAGATAAACCGCAAGAAGTTTAACTGGAAAAAAAACAGACATAAAGTTATTATTTAAAGTTAATAGAAAATGGAATAACTAATAGAAATGGAAAGACTCGCAGTGAAGATTTCGATAAATATGGGAGTACATATTTAAAATATAGTTTTAAAAAATGCCAAGGACAAGAAAGTAATTGATGTATAAATAAAATGCAAAATAAATTTTAAATTCGACGGAATATTTACCTAAGTTTGCCCTGGACAGCTTATAATTTTTATACATTGATCTACTGGTGGTTTTAATATATATTCTAGAATAATTGAAAGTTCCCACTCTTCGATTTCTCACAGTTTCATTCGAAGTCTTCTAAATTCACGATATCGACTTCCATAATATTATTGCCGGCAAATTGTCCGAATACTCCGTTCTGTGATGCGCTGCGTTTTACAACTGAAATATTTGAAAACATAATAATATGAGATTTCATCTTCCCTGGAGAAGAAATTTTTCTTATATTTTTATACAATTTAGAACACTTTTCAGAAACACTAAAAAAGAAAACATATTTTCAATAAAAAAAAATTCATATTTTTCATAAGAATTCTCATTTAATAATTTCTGAAAAATCCTTTAAACTTTTACAGAT